AGGAGCTTTTGGAAAGGGTGGTCAGAGAAGGCTTGTCTCAGAAGGTCATTTTCAAGCTAAGAGAAGAATGAGAAGGCACCAACCATGGACAGCAAATCTAAGTTCTAGAGAAAGAAACTAATTTGGCATGTTCCTAGAATAACAGAATGGCAGCCTAGGTGGATGAACACAGTTAATAACTCAGTGGAGGAGAGCTGTATAAGAGCAGCTCAAATCACAACACTCCCTTTTACTAGCTGTGGGATATCTGACAAGCCATTTCATCTCTCCTTTCCTTCCTCATCTGTAAAACAGAAATAAAGCCTATCTCATAAGACACACGTGAGGATTAAAAGAGATAACATATACAAAATGTTTCAGATTATTTTCATCCTTATTATTACCATTACTGTGTACACTAGTGGATCCAAGTTCAAAAAACGAGCTTTGTGTTCTAGCATTCACTCACTGAACAAACAAGCATTTACTGAGTGCTTGTTTTCTGACTCTTACCACTATGGCTGGTCAACAGAAGGACTGAGAAGATCTCCAGGTGTAAAGAATGTAAACAAGTAATTAAAATATGATGGAGAGATTGAGGTTCAGTAAAAATTGTCTTAATCATCCTCCAGCTAGAATCAACTCAAAGAATTGCTTTCTGCAAAACATACTAATGACGCCCACCAAGATTTTAGAAGCTCTTGGCTAGCTCTTGGTTGTTTCCAACAGTTATTACATTTTAAAAATCTAGCTACTTGTATCCAAACCAGTTCATGCCAGTTAAATTTAACATAGTATAATGAAATATTATAAGGCAAAGAAAACTTGAGTGCAAAAAGAGACTGGTTTCTAAGAAACAAAGTTGGATGCTGTGAAAAGACTTTACAAAAACAAATAGCCCTGAAAAACTGCTATCACATTAAATATGGGGACTTAATTTAAAATATTATGAGAAAAATAATGGAAATATAAAAGACTTATGCACCGAAGCTTCTATATTAGGGATTTTATGTTCAAAAATGGTTTATTAAACATGAAAAGGAATTTCAATCAGGGGACCTCCACCAAAGAAAACACCCTGTTCTATATCAACATGCAAAAGTTTAATGAAAGGGGCCATTGATGTTTTGTAAGTTAGGAACTAGGCTCCCATCTATATACAAAAAAGAAGTCCGAACTCCTTAGTCTTGCATTCAAGGCTCCAACCTATCTTTCTAGCTTTTACCTTTCATAAGAGACTTTTGCAAAGCATATACACTTCATTCCCATATATATCTGTACTTTCCAGACTTTGAAGTCTCATAGATCTGTATCTTAAAAGGTGACCAGAAGTTGTTTTATGAATGAGGGGAGATACATGGCGCTATCTACTTTTCCATGGAAAATGCAGAAATGAATAAGTGGTGACAGCAGTGGTGTTGGGAGGCAGAAGGCAGAAGGCAGTTTTGAGTTTTATTAATTGTGAAACAACCATTACATGTGCCTTGTAGAACACTGGAAATATGGATCTTCAGTTTAGAAGTGAAATTTCAGGATATATTCCTTGAAATCTGGACTTTGCCTGTCTTACTTAGTACTATATCCTCCAGAACTAGAACACTGCTTGGTGCACAGTACTCAAATATATGTTTAATTAAGGTGTTATTTAGTATACAGGCCAATGGATAGCTAAAGCTGGATCTCGATAAGACTGCTCACAGGTGTCAATCTATTTTAGGTATCTTCAAAACTAATGAGTACTTTGTACCATCTTTTCCCAGAAATATGCATGTTTACACAAGCACTAAATTTTGCACAATTTCATCAGATCGCATGGTACTTACTGCTTGCATCAATTTAAAATCTATTGATCTCAAACTTAAAAACCAACAATCACATATTAAGAGGACAACTAAGAAACACTGAAAACACCAAAAAATGAGCAAATGGATGCAGAGAACTCAACAAAGGAAAGGTCCAAAAAGAAAGAAGAAAACAAGAAGAATGTTATTAAGAAAGCAAAGAAAGGGTTTTTCACAGAGGGAGTGATCTACAATAGCAAAAGTAGTAGAAGTATACAAAATACATATGTTAGAGTTGGCATTAGGTCTCCTAGAGATCTTAGTGGAGTGGTAGGCCATAGAAACCAAATTGAGGTTGTTTGAAGGACTGAATAAAAAGAGAGGGAGTATGGCCAGTGAACATAAACAACTAAAATGTTCTCAAACATTTCTCACAAATTATTTTTTCAACAAATATTCATTTAATGCCAATTATATGCCTGGCATTGTGCTAGGCATCCTATCCATGTCCTGCCCAAATTATCTCAAGAAACTTGACTATATTCTCTAAATTATCCTTTCCACCTCCAAATGTCTAATAACTTCCCTATGTAAAAAGCATCAGTCACTTTCAACTGGCTAAAGAAACAAACCAAATAGTCTATTAGTAGAGTCTAACAAGGACGTAGAAGTGTTAAACTTACTGCATAGGTCTCTTATAAACAAGTGAGAAATTTTCTTATCACAAGAATTACAGTACTCTGAACTAACCAATTCATGACACTGTTCAGTGGAATTCCTAAGGACACACCTCTGTCACACAGCCCCGAAAAAATCTAAAAAAACACTATCTTGAGAATCTTCCCATCACCCTCCTACATCCTAAAAGTTTGTTACCATAATTCTCTGAAATAAAACTCTAGAATACTCTTTTCTTAAAAGTCCCTTAAAATAGAATTTTAATTCTGGAAAGGTCTAAACCTTTATTTTACTAGTGAGCAAACTGCATCCTATTAGTTAAGCAAGTTGCCTAACTTCATTTAAGATACTAAAATCTTTAAGATACAAAAGAAATTATTTCAATGCTAGAAAAATGGTTTGTAATCTTTTTTGACAATGTGTGTTTATTATTAATCCCATTAACAATTCATTTAGCCAACAAATAATTACTGCGCTCCACTCCCATACATCAGGCTCTAGGAAAGTGACAGTGAACAAACAGGCCTGGTCCCTCTCATACTAGGAAAGACCAAACTTTAAAACATAACATAATTGGTTCAATGCTTTAATAGTATGAGAATAGAATACACAACTGAAGGATCACAGGTAGGTTTTGTTGCTTGACTTTGTTGTTTGGGTTTTTTCTTTTTCCAATTTTGTTGGGGGCTGGGTAAAGGGAAGGGGGCAGTAGAGGAGTCTAGCAGGCTTCTTTTTGTAGTAGGTGAGCTTTGTGGGGAATTGATAAATGATAAAGTTTAATGGGGACAAGAATGAGGCAAGGAGGGAAGAACATTCCCCGTGGAAGGACTAGCATGTTCCAGCTTTTAGAAGCAGCATGGCAATTTAGGGTATTCATCAAAGGCCAGCATAGGCAGCTCACAGAGTGAGAGGGAGAATGGCTCAAGATAAAGCTGGAGACATGGGTAATGTCCAGATCATACAGAGGAGGGACATAATCAAATTAGTACTAGCTAATAATAACACATCCTTTTACATAGTACTTTAACAGTTTACAAAGCACTTTAAAATGTTTTCTCTGCTGTTCCTACAAACTTGTGTAGTAGCTATTATTATTATTCCAAAATAATTACATCAATCCTCTTTAGAATTCTCACAGGGTAAGTTTAAGGTCCAAGTTACTCAGTTAAATCACCTTGTCTGTTGGTAGTACACAGCTACTAGTCCCTCAAGATTTTACATATGCTACTATCATCTAGGAAAGCTACACTGAACATACCTTCATGATTGTACTTTCTAAAAATTATGTATTTAAAACATTTTTTAAAAGCATTAAAAATAACAGCCATTTATCCATCATCCAGCTTACAGAATATACGCTGACACAAGTCTTTTAAAAGTATGTGTTTAAAGCTTTTCTCCATGGATTGTGAATTCCATGAAAGCAGGGACTATGTGTTGACAGATCCAAGATTTTGCGCTAAGAAATTAATACTGTTGTTTAATATAATGGAATCCCTCAATTCAGGTATAAATACTGAGGTTCACAATACGCTAGAGGCCACAAAGCCAATAAATCATTTAACCCAGTTCAAGTACAAAGAAATTTTGCTTTATTTGTTACGAGTTTACAACTTTATAATACCTGATAAATTTATTCACGATAAAACCGAAAAAATAACTTTCAGTCCACATATTTTCAGGTCATTATTAAAGCATCCCAAGAAGGCACTTGCTGAACAAATTAGCTATGGAAGTCTCCTGTATTATACTAAATGCTGGGAATATGAATTCCAATTACACAAATTCCATGCCTTAATGAAACCCAAGTTTCTTAAGCACACAGAATTGATCCAAGGTTTGGTGGTTCCCAGATGTAAAGAACATATCCCACTCTAGATCAACTAAGAATAGGGAAAAATGTCCATCACACATGAGCGCGTACGTGGCCCAGAGTTAATAAATTATTTTTCCCTTCAGAAAAAAAAAAATTGCTAGTAGGGAGTAAGAAGGAAGTTGTGTTGTGTGTGTAAATGTGTTCTGAAAAGGACTGGGACAGAGACTAGACTAAAAGGAATAGAAACTGGAAAAGCGGGTTTAAGGAGAAAACTAAATGTAGAGTGGCATATGAGAATCACATTTGTTCAAGCATCTTCTACAACAGCTTTTCTGCACAGAGCTGTAATCCTCACACAGCACTTAGTAAAAGGCCTTACAGACCCTGTGTTTCTTGACTCCAAAGAAGCTTCAGTAACCACCTATTCCGCCTCCTCCGCACCGCCCAGCAACCACAGTTACTGTGTGGTCGCCTCATAAATGGAAGCGGCCCTGGCCGCTGGACTAGCGCGGAGGAGGGCAGGTCAACCGATGAGAAGACACTGTGGGAAACGCCATAGAGTACGCACCCAGGCCAAGGAAGGGGTCAGCCTCAGCCTCCACCTCAGCTTGGCCCATCCAGTGAGAGATGTGGTATCAAAAAGAGACCAGAAAACCCAGCTCCCCGAAGGCAGCGGGTACTCCCAAACGGCTTCCAAGCGCTTTAAAGCGCTGGTAACTTCCGCACCCGCCCCCATCCGAAGTTACCTTCCCAAGTGACATCGTAAAGCTCTGAGACCTTCGCCATCTTCCCAGAACCTAGAGGCAGCGGGGTGAGAGGGCGGGGAGCCGCAGTCACGTGACTCGCGACCGGGCTGTGGCGATTTACGTAGCTTTTTCTCATTGGCCAAGAGAGCAGAGGGGGCGGTATCCGCCACGCACGTGCACGCGGCTCTGCGGAGGAGCTTTAGGAGAAGGGGGCGGAGCGAGCTGGGCGGTTCGCGGCGGTCCCGGATCTGAGGCTTCTTTGGGTGCTGGCAGGGCGGAGGTGCTGGCTCGGGGTGAGGTGTGTATTTTGTGTTTGCTTTGCCGTGGATTTTTAACAAATACTGGGTTTTTAGTGTCCGCCAATCCTAGCTTTTCATTTTTTTCTACCTAGGCGTGTTAATTTTCTTCACACTCCCCAATCAACAGTTTATTCTGTTCAGGGCTGGCTGCCGCGCAGCCTTCTGCGCGAATCCCTTATAAATCTCCAACTTTCCTCCTTCTTTAATGGGATTTGCTTTCCGTTCACTTTTTAATCGACTAAACGGGTACTCTAAAGTTTTTATTAAATCTCTTCGAGGGACTGATTGGGATTCTTTCGCTTTGAAGTTACCTTGAATGCCCTTGGGCTAGCCTGTATCCTTCGTTTACGCTCGTCGTGCCTGTCATTGCTTCATCCATGTCTGCATGCCACACTAGGTTTGAAACTGTAGCGAGTATAATAAGTACTTACAAGAAATGAATGTAGGAATAAGACCTTTACAGTTCCTGAACTTCGCTCCTCTTTACTCCTGGTGGGTGGATGGGGGAGCCTGCTTTCCCACCAGACTAATTGCTTTTAGGGACCTTTGGACGTCGTCTCCTAGAGCTAAGGAGAAATGTCTGGACAGTAAGCAAAATATTTGAAGATGATAAGCATATATTTTGTATCTGAAGGAATGAGAACCTGAGATTGTAGAGGAGGAACATGTAAGCTGAGGAAAAACTAAAAATCACTGCAGTGCAGCCATAGTTATGGGTCAGTGAAGAAGGGGCAGTCAAGGTTTGAGAAGTAGAAATAATCCTATCCCACAAGTCAAAAGAGTGGAGGGGTTTTATTCCCAGCTTTATTGAGGTATAATGGACAGAAATTGTGTATATTTAAGGTATAGGAAGTAATGATTAGACGTAAATATATATTGGGAAATGATTACCACAACCAAGCTAATCAACACGTCCATCACCGTACCTGTTTCCCGTGTGTGTGTATGTATGTGTGTGTTGATAACACTTAATCGCTCAGCAAACTTAAAAGTATACAATACAAAATTCTTAACTATAGTCACCATGATGTACATTTGATCTCCAGAACATATTCACCTTACAACCAAAAGTTTGTACCCTTTGACCAACATCTCTCCATTCCTCACCTCTCAGCTCCTGTCAACCACAGAGGGTTTTTTTGTTTGTTTAAAAAACAAAAAACAATAACCGCCAGGCCATCTACCCCAGAGAAGTCACATAACGACAGAAAAGACTAGTGAATTTTTACACTTGGATTGAATTCTGAATGAGCTGGCATTCTTTCTAAAGAGACTTTTAAAAAATCTTTCATTCAGGAAGTTAAAAAATGCTCCACCCAGAAATTCATGTGTTTTAATTATCCAATAAAGCAACCTGGTGCAATGGGAAGAAAAAGAACTCCCAGATCTGATTCCAGGCTCTTCCTTTTAGTAGCTGGGTGACTTTCAGCTTGTATTTCTCTCTCAGCATCAAAGACACTCATATATGAAAAGCTAATAGTATCTGTGTAAAAAGAAAGTAGCTACCTTGAATTGTTAATCAACATGAAAACAGATACTGCAGCTAAAGCCCCTGCATGGCACTCTCATGGAGGTACCCTCTTGTATCTAGAAACACTGTGTTTATATGCTAATCAGTCCCAAATTGATCAATCTTCTCAAAACCCAGTCTGCTTGCTTGACATACTCACTTAGATGGCTAGTTGATATGCATCTCAAAGTTAACATATCCACCACAGAACTCTAGATTCCTGCTGCCATCTTCTGCATTCCCGAACCTTGCTTTTCCCCGTCATAAGTAAGGAAACCATTTACCAACTTGCACAAGTTAAAATTACGGGAAGTACCTTTGATTCCTTTTTTTGACACCCCCCCCCCACATCCAGTCTATCAGCAAATTCTACATTGCATTTCCCAAAGTTCATCTGCTTTTCATCTCTATTGCTATTACCTTAGTCTCCTAACCACCTTGGTTTCATTCTTGCTGTGTAAAATCTGTTTTTTTGTACAACAGCCCTACTGGCCTTAAAAGAAAAATCAGACTACAGAAGTCCCTTGCTGATAGGCCTCAAATTGCTCCCCATGGCAATAAAAATATACTTCAAACACTTTACCATGGTTTAAAAGGCTTTACTCAACCAGGTGACATTCATCTACCTCTTACCTCATCTCCTACTATTCTCTCCCCTCTCTAGCCCCCAGCCATTCTCATCTACTTACTAGTCCTCAATCAGGCCAAGCTCATATCTGTCTTGTATCTGGCGTTTGCCCAGCTGTTTCCTTTTCCTAGAATGCTCTTCTCCACGTCTTTTAGTGACCATCTTCCTTTCACCATTCATATCTCAGTTTTAAATGTATCCACTTATAGCCCTCTCTTGACCATCCAATAGAAAGTAGTCCTTAGGTAATGCCTGTTCATCTTCATGACACTTATCACTATTTGATTTCTTGTTTGTTTACTTGCTTACTTTCTGTATTTTACAACACTTTAAGCTGCTTCATAGTACCAACTTTATTATTTTAACCTTGGGACATCCAGCCTAGAAAAATACCTGAAACAGTAAAAATGTTTGTTGAATGAATGAATTAGATTAAAAATGACAGCTTGTATTAATATTTATTAAGGATAACATTTCCTAATAGTATACATATGAACTCTTGTTTAGTTAAGCATAGGATGTTTTCTTTTTATAGCTGATACTTTCCTAAAACGTATAAATTCAGTGAATTCAGGAACCATGCCAATTCTTTTTTTTTTTTTTTTTTTTAATTTTTTTTTTTTGGGTGGGCCCCCGCCTGGGTGCCCCAGGTGGGGCTGCTCTGTGCCGGCTCCTCCCCCGGGTGCCCAGAGTCTGCCAATTCATTTTTATATCATTTTTATATCAGCCCTTACTGCAATATGTTGCATACAAGAGCCACTTAATATTTTCATGAAATTATTGATGCTTAACATTTTGTTGGTTTGTTTGTTGGTTTGTTTGAGGGGTCTAAAGCCTCTAGGAAGTCCCAAGGAGGTATTTTTTAAAGCCTTGTAATGGATTTTAAAGGTTATAACTAGTTGAGGAAATAAATATTTTCTAATCATGTCAACTAAATATCCCATAGCTAGCTACTATTGTCTGTCAAGCAATAAGCTATATGACACTGGGTTAAATGTCATCATTTTCAGAATTTCTAAGCTGGAAAATAGAGTAATCTCATTTTTGAGTTTGAGTGGGCTGATGATTCTTGGGAACAATATTTTTCAAACTTCTTTTGCCTATAACTCATACTGAAGAATATGTTTTATGTTGTCATACCGTATGTGTACATGTATTTAAAACTGAAACATAATTTACAAACTAGTTTTGTCATGTGCCTTGTCTTCTACATTTTCTATTCAAAATGTGTCAGTTACATTGTATATTCTAAAACTACTGGTGTGACACAGCCATGACTCATAGTTTAAAAAACATCAATGGATATTGTATGTATTTCCTAACCTGAGGCCCTAACTTGAAATGATTTGCCCAAGTTTCTGCCACTAGTAGGTAAAAAAGATAGGCGACTCATATGTGATTAGTTGTTTAGATCATAGATGAAAGATAAAATACTAATGAGAAAAATATATCTAGGAGAAATTTTGTCACCAACAGTACTCTGAAGCAGGGAAAATGACTGCATATAGATTATGATATAAATGTCTAATAAAACTTGCCTTCCTTGGGCACACTTAGGAAAAAACTGGTATGACAGTGACAAGAATTCTATATTCTTCTTTAACATTGTATAGCATGCAATTATAACTAAATGAAAATAGAAATACCTTCCATAGATAAAACTAACACTGAAAACATAAATATCAATCTTACCTTCTGTAACTCTACCTTTACAAGATGTCTTCAAAGTTTTGCTTCTCACCCTCTCCCTCATTGGGAAATTTTCATTGAAATATGTTTAAAATATTTAATCCAGTTTTTCTGATTGCACATTGCCCAATATTGGTGACAAATACCAAGGAAATGTCCAGGCAGCCAAATAATAGATTATATCAGCCCCCACATTATGAATAAGATGTGTCAGACACCATGGGCAGCATTATCTCACTTAATAATTTCAACAGCACAATGAAAATGTCTGTAATTGTTTTTATGTGAAACCAAATTGTGATTTGGCTTTTTTCTGCAATATTAGGTTTGAAGAGTTGGAAGGTCAACAAATCAGAATGAACTAGAGTGAGACCGGAAAATCTTTGAATAAGCCCACATTTTCTTTGAGGCAGGTTATAAGCCAAATTAGTCCACAGAGCACTTTAGAGTACATCTCTTTTATGGTTTACTTAATTCAGTTAATATCTTCAGACAGTGGAGGACTAAAGCAACCTCTTAAATTTAATAAACTCTATGGCATTCATAGACAGTATACATTATTTCACAGGATATAAGCCAAATTACTCCACAGAGCACTTTAAAGTACATCTCTTTTATGGTTTACTTAATTAATATCTTCGGATATTGTGAAGGACTAAAGCACCTTTTAAATTTAATAAACTTTATGGCATTTATACAATGTATATCATTTCACAGGATGAAACATACCATTCTAATTGATTTTACAATATTCAGCATCTTCATCAAACCATTTATTTAGAATATTCTGTCTACTTTTTCCTGGTCTTAACCATAGTGAATTAGTGTCCCACGTTATGTAACACAGCTTGTAACTCCTATTTACTATGACAGTTATTTATCAGAGTAAATTGGTCTCGCTACAACTCTCATATAAAATTTACCAAAGCTTTTAAATTATGTTATAGTTTCTAATTAGTGGATTATAACCATAATCCCTTTTTATTTAACTGGAAATATTATTCATTCCATATCACCAGAAAGTAATCTTCATTTCATGTCACCAGACTTTCATCGTGACACATCTTGTTCAGAAGGAAATTTTCCTTAGGATTTTATTTACCAAGCACCAGGTTAATATAGAATTGTTTTAGGAATCTACTGAACTTTGTTTTTATTACATTTTTAAAAGATTGTATAATTAATTTGTTTCCCCCAAAATCAGTACCCACTCCCCCCTTTGCTGGCACAACTGTAGCATTTAGGCATGTCTGTTTTTTTAAAGTTTGTTGTCATTTCAAATATATATGTTTTTAAATGTGCCAGCCATCATTTCATACCCAGTTATATTATTTTAGAAAGGAAAAGGGAGTCTCTGGGAAACATTTCTGGTGAGATCGCTTTGGTCCTTTTACAGCAGATTTCGCAAACTGATTATTACCCCTCTATGCCGAAGTTGTAACAGTGAAAAGGAAAGTACGTCCAGAAAGAGTACACCCAGAATTCCCTCATATGGGCAGTAAGTTAGAGCTGTTTCTTTCTGAGATTTATAACCATACTTGAGAGTCCACTTTTTCAAATGATATTTATTTAATTTCCCCAAAGCGCATATTCTATTCTGATACACACATACATCTGTGTAAATGTACTCCTTATGCAAAAATGTATTTTTGTAAACATCTCTTTTGGTTACCAAATATCCAGGACTCCGTAAATACTATTAATGTAAACTGATGGTCCCTGAAGACCATCTAGACTCTACTTTCTACAGCAGGACTATAATGGAATCCTTTATTTGAAAAAACATTCAAAAAGGTGTTTATTTACAATAAATTACATTATGGGAAACTCATGCAAAGATAAACTGAATGTCACTGAATGCTAGTTTATTATTAAGATAATTTTTATTTTTGAATAGTCCCTCTCTTTGATAGTTTGGTAGCATTACTCTGATTACAAGTGGCTATGTCATTCATTCAGACCGGTAGTTCACAGATACCTTACCCTGGCCACCAGGCCAGAATGCCATTTTCTTTACTGGTCATCTTTAACTGTGGTCATGCTGACCACTCTGCTAAAATTGGCTTAAAGGCCAACAGCCACATTGAGCGTAATGTGGTCATGTCCTCTTTTAGATCATAAATCACATGCTCTTTTGTACATAAGAGGGCTGATTTGGTCAACTCCATGGTTTTATTTGGGAAAAAGACTAGTTTCCTGGCAGAATGTCTGACAAAGCTGCCCACCCTGAATCCATTCTGTCAGACCTATGCATCATCTTCTCACTCCTGAGGAAATAGCATGATCTCTATTTTTAAAAATTTTATATAATGTAAATTTTTAAAGTTTTATTAAAATTGTTTACCTTAAAACTATGAAGCAAGGAACAAAACAGATGTGCTTCAAAACTATCACTTAAATTACTGCCACCTCTCTAGAAATTCTTTGAGCAATAAAATATTTTTATTTCCTTCTGTTCATTATGTTTCTTTTACACATTTCCCTTGAATCTTTAAATAATGAACTTGAACATGTGTCCAGTGTGGATGGGGGTGTGATGTGGGGGTGCTTTCAGTTGTTAAAAGTGGATAGGAAGAAAGATTGGGCAGGAAGAGCCATAGACCATGATTTAGATCTGACAAAGTATCAGCCAGCTCAGTGAGAAGCTTCTGAGCAAAGATTGCCCATTAGAGGTGACCCACAATGGGCAGAAATTGCCAGGCCTCGTGTAGTGACATGCTCAGTTATTGGCTGGGGACTACCCAGAAGGACATAGCCTCAGCTCAAAATCTGTGATTAATCTGGAAGATTTTACTAGCTGGAGGCTGTCAACTTCCTGTAATACTTCAGCAAATTCTTTTTTGAAGGGAGATTCAAACAGTATACCTCATGGCTGCCATTATTATTATTTTTCCATTCTGACTATGCACAACCTCAGCACTATTAGGTAAATCATCAACAACCAATTATTGATGAGAGGTAGGGGTCTGTGTTCTTCAGAAGTCACTAGTGATTTGACATATGGAAATTACATTTTAACTGCACAGAATGTCTTTATTATATTATAAATAGTTCAGCAATGGTTGCCTTGTGTTGAAGAAAAGATGTGGTAGAATACATGTAATCCACAGAGGCTTGTTTTTATGAAACATAAATCAGGAATCATTCATTCTTTTCATGGGTGGAGACTAATACTACTACCATTGGTAAATTACCTAGAACTTCATATTTCTTCCTCATTTTTTCACTCAGCTGCCAAACATATCAAAGTAATTTAGAATTTTAGAAATGTCATTCCAAGAATAATAGTAAAACTCTGAAAAAGGGGCAGCATTTCTAAAATTCTAGAATTCAAGCTCTTCATGAAATACTAGAAAATTCCAAAGACACCGCACTCAGAATGCCCCTAGATAATTCAGTGGCTAGCTGCCATACTGTCATTGATGGTTGCTTCTTAATAAACTTAAGCAAGGATAAATTTATCAGTATTTTCCAACAGTAGATAATTGATTACAGGTGTGAAATATGAATGCTGAGTAAATATTCAGCCCCTCAATGTCATCTTGCTGTTCTCTCATCCAAATGCCAAAGCAGCCTTAGTTAACATCTGCTGTGCTACACGGATGCTCTTCTGGGAAGGTAATTAATAATGGTCCATACTCTGGACTGCCAGAAGGAATGATACGATGAAATCAGTACCTAATGGGAGAAGGCAGAGTGCTTCCCAGACTTCACATGACTGGTAAAGTTGAATTTCAGAGAGAAGGATTGTCTGTTTTTAAAAATTTTGGCAACAGAAGAGGACTGCTGATTGTCTGTTTTAAAGAATTAAAGCAACAGAAGAAAACTTTGGCAGTTCTTTTCAGGGAGCAGTTACATGGGACACAGTAGTTATGAATCTCAATACACAAGCTCAGGTGTGTAAGAACAAAATTTACACTTTTATAAAACAAATTTTTTTCAACATCTATTTTAGAATCGGGTACATATGCAGGTTTGTTACATAGGTTTGAAGTACGAATGAATCCGGCCACCACATGGTAAGCATAGTATCCAATAGGTAGTTCGGGTTTGCATGTGTGTGTGTGTGTGTGTGTGTGTTTTGAGACAAGGTCTCACTCTGTCACCCAGGCTGGAGTGCAGTGTTACGATCAAGACTCACTGCAGCCTCTACCTCCTGGGTATGGGCTCAAGCAATCCTCCTGCCTTATACCCTCCCCAACCAGTAGCTGGGACTACAGGTGCATGCCACCACGCTGGCTAATTTTTTGTATTTTTTGTACAGACAGGTTTTCGCCATGTTGCCCAGGCTTGTCTCTAACTCCTAGGCTCAAGCAGTCTGCCTGCCTCAGCCTCTCAAAGTCCTGGGATTATAGATGTGAACCACTGTACCCAGCCCAATAGGTAGGTTTTTTTCCCCCCCACTCTTATCTCCCTCCCTCCTAGTCCCCTTTTGTATTCCACAGTGTCTGTTGTTCCCATTTTTATGACCACATATACCCAATGTATAGCTTCTGCTTTTGAGAACATACAGAATTTGGTTTTCTGTTTCTGCATTAGTTTAGGATAATGGTTTCCAGCTTCATCCATGTCACTGCAAAGGACGTGATTGTATCCCTTTTTATGGCTGTGTAGTATTCCATGGTGTATATGTACCACATTTTCTTTATCCAGTCCACCATCGATGGGTATATGTTGATTCCATGTCTTTGCTATTGCAAATGATGTTGCAATGAACATATGGGTGCAGGTGTGTTTTTGGTAGAATGGTTTATTTTCCTTTGGGTATATACCCAGTAGTAGGATCTCCAAACTGCTCTCCATAGTGGCTGAATTTACATTCCTACCAACGGTATTTCTCCACAGCCTTGTCAATATCTGTTATTTTTTTTTTTACTTTACTACAAAAGCCATTCTAACTAGTGAGAGATGGTATCTTTTTGGCTTCGATTTGCATTTCTCTAATGAATAGTAATGGCAAAAGTTTTTTCATATGTTTGTTGGCTACTTGTGTGTCTTCTTTTGAGAAGTGTCTGTTTATCTCCTTTGCCCACTTTTTAATGGGGTTGTTTTTTGCTTGTTCAACTGTTTAAGTTCCTTGTAGATTCTGAATATTAGAACTGTGTCAGATGCATGCTTTGTAAATATTTTCTCACATTTTTTGGTTGTCTATAAAACTCAATTTTTATTTGAGGTACCATCCTTTGGAGAAGACAAAAATTTAATCTCAGTTTGGGATTAGCTTCATCCTGCTGCCTCTACCTCTTTCCAGGCTACTCTGACTCGTGTGAAAGTGGTATTCAAAATATTTAACAAGCTATAGGCAAGGTCACCAGCTGTCATGGGAGTGCCTTCAAGATGGTCCCCAGTGATTTGCACCTTCTGGTTAGTAAATCCTATGTAATCTTTCCTACACTGAATAGGAACGGCCTGTCTTATCAATAGAATGTTTCAGAAATGATTGATATGACTTTCTGAGGTCATAAAAGACATGTGACATCTGCTTTGCCCTCTCTTGCATCACTCATTATGAGAACACTCAAGCAGCCCCACAGAAAGGTCCATGTGGCAACGACTGAGGCATCCTTCAACAGCCAGCATTAATTTGCCAACCATGGGAGTGAGACATTTTAGGGTTGGTCCTCCAGCCCCAGTCAAGACTACAGACTCAGATGACATCTCAGCTGGTATACCTTGAGCTGGAGCCACCCAGCTCACAAGACTCACAGAAAATTTGTGACATTAAAAATAAGCTTTATGCTGCCAATTTGGGAAGTAAAATATTATATGGTAATAGATAAGCAATATAGTGACCAGTCAGAAAGAAAGCAGACACTAGCTTAAGTGCTTACATGGGGTCCTGGAGGCTCCTCTGCTATTCCAGGCATTAGTCTTTTAGTTTGGAGTAGGTGAGTAGTTCTGGGTAATTAATATTTATCAGTTTTGGTATTTATCAACCAGTACAGCCATACCAATTCTATCATTCATTCTTACATAGTCTCAAGGCATTGAGAAGTCCACATGGTCCTCCAGTTCACAATACAGCTCTTCTTTCTCTTCATAAGTGTCCCTGGGTCTTGTAGCTCTCTTAAGTTGGTATGGATCACATGGGAATTTGGGTTTTCCTCCCTGGGCTCATATTTCAGCCTTTTTTTTTTTTCCTGGATGCTCTCACCTCCCTGACACTCTGACTAAACTTAGGGCTTATCTCCCTGGAAGCCACTCTGCTTTCATCAGCTCACCTTGGGTCTCTCTTCTTCTCTACTCCAAACTTTACTCCCCAATCCCTGAGAGAGGACTATTTCAGTCTCAGGGGATGTTTCCTCTCATCCTAAGTGCTTTATTCTCTAGGTACTGTCTTACCTGTGATTTATCCAGAGACACCTACATATACTCTCTTTGATGAGTTTTGAAAACCCAAACCAGAGAGATACAGTTTGCCCCTTCCTAGCTCCCCCCGCCACCCCCACCGCACCGCACCGATACTCTCTTTCTCTGAAACAGTGATTCAGGGCCTGGAGAACAGTGAAAAAAAGTTTCACTTTCAGAAGAGAAAAAAAGAAAATCACTTCTTGATTCAAAAAAATGTTATCCTGCTACCCTGTATATAGAGAAATGAATCTCTGCTTATTAAAGAACTGTTGTTTGGACTGGGACATGATCCTTGCATCACAGTTCAGTAGATTCTCATTGAAGCCATTCGCTCTAATAACATGATAATAAAGCAACCCGTTGGTTTGCCTTCCTAAGAGTCTAGATAGCATGTAAGAGATACTTTGCTCATGAGTACAACATACCCATATTTACATTTTTAAAAAATCTCTTTCCTAGAAATCCTTACCTGACTTCCACAGATTGGGGTTATGTGCCCTTCTCATATGCTCAGCTTCCGTCTCCCCAAAAGCACCTATCTTACCAATTGTAATTATTACTTGTGTCTGTCACTAAACTCTTAGCTCTGTTTGACACCTGTATGTCATGCACACGATCTTTGCCAGAATATTTCAATAAGAACTTGTGTAAAGACAAAGAAGAATCATTAAATCAATGTGGTCACTTATTTGGGGGCTTTATGAACCAGTAAAATTTTAAGGCAAAGGGTGGAGAGAAAAAATAAAGGTTGCCAATTTTTTATTTTACTAAGCGAGGACATTAAAAGTAACAGCTACAATTCACCTCATTTCATCTTGAGGTTGCTAATTTAACACCAAAGAAGTTGTAAGGATTCACTAAACAACAGTCTTTGCAATAGAGGAAGTTTAAATTTTTTTTTTAGCAGAGACCAGTGACAGCTTCCACCTAGATTGGTAACAAATGGCTCTGAGAACTGCTGACAACATCTTTAATCCTTTCCACTAGATAAACTGGGAAAATTCGAAATATTTTCAAGGTGGCAACTTCTAGATTTTAAATTTCTTTTTAAAGAAACACTTCCAACTAACTAAAACTTGTTTTCTATCCTCATTATCTATGTCTTTAAAGAAAAAGTGTCACTGAGCATCTTGGCACATGATTTTCAGCTGGGACTCATTATCCTCTTCAAGAATTTTTTCTCTTTCCTAGTAGATCTCTGAAGAAGTGAACATATTAGAAAGTACAAACTACTGTAATTTTTTTATTTTTAAAACATGTTTGGGGAAGGCTTGCTACAGTCTGATCTAAGAAGAAAAATAAAATTATACTTGAAGTATCTCATGATGCAAACCATTTCTGGCAAATTTGTTTTGGATATAGCTCTTGTCTCAAATTCAGCAAAATTCATTTGGGTTAAGTTTTACACTAAAGCACAGTAAATGTGTTGTTAGTTTTTCATTTTACAAATCACAAAAATTCTGCTTGATTTGAGTGACAAAATAGTTAACTAATATATAAAAAGCATTTTCACTGGAACTGGAGCAGAAGATACTGTTACCTCTACAAATAGGTGTGGTTTTAACAAATGGCAAAGACAATAAAGAAAACACAGAAGCAGTGTTTCTATTTTAAATTTTACTTATTTTGAGAACCCATGGGATAAATTACAACAGCCTTTGGGAAAGCAAAATCATCAAAATTAGGGATGGAAAAAATTAAATCAATGATGATGTAATCTAGACCCTTGATGATACAGGAGACTCCCTTAAAAATTCTGCCTGCATGCAGTGTCGGTTGTAATGCTTTAGGCTAGGAGAAATTTCTCAATCTGACTTGTGCTTTTACAAATTTATGCTTTCTGCTTATTTTTATTTTACTTTCTGTCATAACTTCCTTATTTTCCTTAGGAAAAAAAGAGAAAAGAGGCCTTAATAGCCTAGTTTCAGTCGATTTTTTTTTTTTTTACAATAGTCATGTTGAAAGCAAAGCATGCCATTTTCTTTTATAAAATAATTCTGCTGGCAAACTTCCTAGCTAAAGTTCTCAGTAAAATAGTAAATCAAATAGTATCCACATACAGGAAGAAAAGTTATAAATCTCCTGAATTATAGAGCTCTCTACACTGCAAACTTTCAAGAAGAATTATACCTTTTTTAACATAGTGTTTTTTGCCTCATCAGAATTCTTAGAAAATAAAAATATATTACGTTTGAAATACACATGTTCAATCAAACTTGTGAAAATTATTTTATTTTAATGTATTGTTTGCCCTAATTAAGATACCTAATTTATTAATTTAAGGAATAATTAATTTAGTAGCCAGAAATGGTATTTAGGATTGCTATTAATCTAGCCTGTTTCAACATGAGTATAGAGTATGAAGACTCAGATTACATATTTTCAAAATATGAAGTGGACCTGCACATTGTCATTTAGTTCATAAACAGACAACACCTTAAACCATTAATTTTGAGCATGACTTTTCCCATTCCAAAAAATACTAGGAAATGAAAAACAAAAATGATGTTGGTATCATTTTTTGAGAAGTGTTAATGATAATAGTTAAATATTTTGGAACTATCAAGAGCTAAATTTGGTTTATCACTTATGAAAATAGTTATAACTGGCAGCATAATATCAATGAGTAGATATTTGAGTGTCAGTACAGACAAGATTATCAACCTGAGCTGCACACTAAGCACAATTAACTGAAAAACAAAAGTTCAACCAGAGTACGCTGGTCTGATGCTGAGAGTTGTTCTGTAAGGCTTCAAGTTATGATCATTTAAGAATAGTTTCATGAAACTAACTTAAATAGGTAGTTTTTTTAAAGTGAGAAGAATGAAATGATTAATTTGAAGAAAAATTATATGCAGTATTAATAAAATATGAAAGTATTTTGCTGAAAGACTCATGTAGCTGAGCTTCTGAAATATATCTTTGAATTACCAGTGGACAAGCCCATAAAGAGATAGTTGTTTTTGAAGATATTGTCACTAAGGAATAGCTACCCAAATGAAATTGTAGGCATGCAAATAATGATGTGAATGAAGACATAACAGAAATAAGGCCATGCCATTTCTCACAGCTACTGCCAAAGAGAAACTCTGTTGAATTAGTTATTTTTTTCAATTGTAGCTAACGTACTAAAACACTGATATTCTTAGAATCCTAAAACTTCGACTTGATTTCTGGCTTCATCAGTAATTGACAGTGTAATCTTTCGTAAGTCCTTGACTGTCACTTTTGATAGAAGGTAATAATACCTATCTCAGAATGTTCTTAAGAAGACTAAATTTGAAAATATCTAAAAGCATATATTACCTGAAGAAAATAAATTTTAAGTGGTAAAAAAATAAACATGAGTGTTTTAACCACTTAAAATTTATTTTAAGTGGTTACAAATAATCACTTCAATGAAGTCATCACTTCATGAGTGATTTCTATTTTTTTTCCATTCATCATTCAACTGTAATACAAGATGATCTAGCACATTGTGTAATATTTTATTGGTGACTGTTAAATAGAAGTCTGGTAGAGATTTGAAAGATTTCAGAAGAAGCAAATATAATTTTTATTCGTTACATTTTTATCCACACTTTAATATTCCTGCTTTATATTTGTAAAATCTAAAAACAGTTGTCTTGAATTTTCAGCCAGATATCTAGGAAGCCCAGATGGTTTCCTAAGCTTATAAAATAAGCATTTAGCTACTCTAAACTATCTTTTCTATGAAGACTTGGAATGAAATGAAATTGTAAGCACACCTGTTTCATGTCTTTTGCCACATATAACCTAGAATGAAACTCTTTAACCAATAGAACACTGCTGATGAATTCTGCTAAGATACAGGATTTTTCCTTAATGTCGTTAGGAAAGCCAAGATATGAGTGTCATTTAACATAATTTTAATTTAATTTTTTTTCAGCTTTAGAAGGAAATGATAGTTTTCAAGAAATGAATATTTGTGATATTTTTATGGGGTTAACATGCTAGTTCAAATATCTTGAATTTTAGAATCTAATATATGTCTTGCAGCCCATCACTCATTATCTTAACTGTACCTTATTGCTTGCCTACATACAATATAAAACAGAGATGTAAGAATTGGTTTCATATAGAAAGAAATACAAGCGTAATTTTTAAATTCTTTATTAATAGGCAAAGTAACAAAAGCATGAACAACTTCTGCAAAACTTTCCCATGACACAGGCTCTTTTCTCATACCACTGGCAGCTAAAGTGAAAATCAGGTAACAACTCACAGCAACAGGGAATCATACTGGCCTAAAATGCTGGTCAGTTGTGGGAATATCTCTAGAAAAAAAAAAAAAAAATAGAATGGGACTGGGAGATTCCTATCACAAACCTGATTTAGAATTCCAGTGCATACACGTGGGAAAAAAAAGTATTCAAGAATGATAAGAAAAACATACATTCTTCTTTACACTTTTCACATTTCCACCTCTTTTGAAATCTTTGTTAATTACTCCGTATTTATTGAGTGTTCACTTTGTTGGAGTTTGTGGCTAGGGATACAAAGAAACCTTTTGGGTCCTTATCAAGAGAGCTGAGTAGGTAGAGCAAATGGTTTGGCCATATGACATCCTCCCCCAGCATTCACAGGCAGCACACACACATGCGCACACACACACACGCACACACACACACACACACACACACACACTCACACAGCTGATTGGCTCAGCTTGAGCCAATCAGATTCTCCCTTGTAAGCATTTGGAATTGGAATTTAGAAATCCTAGTCAGCAACTTTGGATTATTTAGTTAGATCACTTAAATTGACCTTGGAATGGCTATGTTTGGATTTGATTAAATAACAGAGATACCTACTCTGTAGAGAAAGAGAGTAATGATTCAGGCACGTAGAAAGATGAAGAGATGAGATTTCCTGTGGACCCTGAAGAAAGATAATAGAATAAAGTAGGGTAGTCCCCCCCGCCATGGTTTCCCTTTGCACAGTTTCAGTTATCCACTGTCAGCAACATCCCAATAATGTTCAATAGCAATTCTAGAAATAATAAGTTTTAAATTGCACAGTGTTCTGAGAAGCATGATTAAATGTCATGCTATCCAGCTCTCTCCCAACCAGGCACATACATCATCCCTTTGCCCAGCATGTCTACACTGCATGTACTACCTGCCTGATAATCACTTAATAGCCCTCTTGGCTATCAAATCGGCTGTCTCAGTATTACAGTGCTTGTGTTTAAGTAACCTTTATTTTACTTAATAATGGTCCCAAAGAACAAGCATAATGATGCTGGCCATTCAGATATGCCAAAGGGAAACCTTTAAGTGTGTCCCTTAAGTGAAAAGGTGAAAGTTCTTGCTAGGATCTCCAGTAAGAACGAATCTTCTATGAAATTGTGAACAGTATATTGTTAAAATTGTTCTATCTTATTATTGTTGCTGTTAATCTCTTACTGTGCCTAATTTATAAATTAAACTTTATCATAGGTATGTATATGTAGGAAAAAATGAACATGGTATCTGTAAGTATAGGGTTCAGTACTAACCATTGTTTTCAGACATTCACTGGAGGTCCTGGAACATAAGCCTGCAGATAAGTGGGGACTGCTGAAACTGCCTTTGATCTTCATAGCATCCTATTTCCTTGTTTTAATATCTCCTAAAACCTGCCCTTGCATTTTTAAATAGTGGTTTATCCTTTAAATATTCTTTTAAATAAATTCCCCATTATTACTTAGCTAATTTGAGTTTCTATCCATATGGCCAGTGACTTAGATAAGAAATGAGCTGTTCCTTAGCCTTCCTTTGAAAGCAAAGTTTTGCAGAGATGTTTTTGTTACAGAGTTACTATTAAACTAGTAAAATGCTGTGTATGGCAGTTTGGATCTTTTTGTTTTTTTAAAAATTGGTATGTATGTTATAAAAATTTAAAGATGCCAAACAAAAACATTTATTTAGTAAATCAAGGCATTAACATAATGTGAAAATAAGAGAAATATTTCAGCATACTAAAAAATGTATATATTATATATTGGGTCCAGTTTTACATTTAAAAGTGCTTTCATAATAAAGTTTTCAGTTCTAGAGAATTTTCTTGTGTAATTCCTTTGATGATTTCACTCCCTTCATTTTCTTGTTTGAAAACTTTTTTTGTTAGATTTTCTGAGTTCTTTACTTTTTATCTCGTTTTCCATCTCTTTTACGCTTTGTTCTATCTGGGAAATTTTTCACATTCTCTGTCAAATCTCCTATTGATTATTATTATTATTATCATTATTTGGCTATCCTATTTTTTTATTTCTAAAAGCTTTTCTTCTCTGTTCTGTTTTTATAGCATGCTCTTCTTGTTTTATTCTTGCAGTAGTTGTCTGTATTTCATATTGAAGACTTTCTTCAAATGTCTTAGCTTCAATGATTTTTCTAATTTAAGTGTAAGAGTCTGGAATGCTGTATGGAAGCTCTGTATGTTTGTGAACAGGGTACCTTAATTATATAACAATTGGTAATTAAGCTGCTTTTAAAATAAATAGTATCTCTCAAGCATCAATTTGAATAGATTTTATCTTTGTGAGTCATTTTGTTCCCCCAGAGAATAATTATCTTATTCTCTGAATTAGTCAGGGTTTTCTAGGGGGACAGAACTAATAGGATAGATACATGTATAAAAGGGAATTTATAACTCACAGTATCATAAGGTCCCACAATAGGCTGTCTGCAAGCTGAGGTGCAAGGAGAGCCAGTCTGAGTTCCAAAACTGAAGAACCTGGAGTCTGATGTTCAAGGGCAGGAAGCATCCAGCACAGGAGAAAGATGTAGGCTGGGTGACTAGACCAGTCTAGTCTTTTCACATTTTTCTGCCTGCTTATATTTTAGCCATCTGACAGCTGATTGGATAGAACCCACCCAGATTAAGGGTGGGTCTGCCTTTCCCAGCCCACTGACTCAAATGTTAATCTCCTTTGGCAACACCCTCTTAGACACACCCAGGATCAATACTTTGCGTCCTTCAATTGAATCAAGTTGACACGTCAGTGTTAACCATCACATTCTCTCTTAATGCTTGTGCTCCAGGAGCAGTGTAGAGGAATGGGGCTGGTGTTCCAATAATCACTATGAAAACTTAGACTTAATCCCTTTGGCTTCAGTCCCTTTTCCCTTCTCCTACTTGACTCTGGCCATTGCTCCCATTCCAGAGCTTCTCATATCTAATAATTCAACTAGAGGTTAAGACATTGGTATCCTGCAGAGTGAAAAGCTGGAAGAAAATACAGGAGAAATTAGTTAACTTATAGTTGTGGGACAGGAGATAAAATCTGGGGACTTAGCCACTTTCAACTATTCTCCTTGTTTTCAGCAAACTTCACTACCAATGTCCCATGTGTTTTGGGTGTTTGGAGGGCAAATCGGATGAAAAAAAAAATGAAGAAAAAGGAAAGAAAGGATGTTTCTCATAGATCACTTTCTATATAGGCACCAGGTTATAGCTTCCTTTATTGGACACTACTTTTCATCAGCTTTCTACCTCAAGAATTTTGTTGAAATTTCACATTCTCTTTCTTTTTCTTTATTTTGTTATATTTTCTGTTCTGTTTTAAAAAAATATTTGTTTCTAGTATTCAGAATTGGGAGAAAATGAATTTCTTCCATTTAAGCCATTTGGTGTGTGGTATTTTGTTACATCTGCCTAAACTAATATACTATATAAGACCAAAAAAAAAAAAAAAAGTGGTGGAGGGAAAGAAAAATAAATTAACTCAGTGGTACATGCTGTCCCAAGATAAAATGCATTTTTTCTTAAAAATTAATTTTACTAATATTAATGGATTATTTTCTAGAAATAGAAAAAGATTAGTAATTTTATTAATTTAATGTTGGGGGGTGCTACAGGAGGATGAGGAAATAAAGGCAGGTTTAACTAGAAGTTTCCTCCTTACTTCATGAAGTATAATTTTAGATTCCCTTCTTAAAAATGCTTCTGCTCATTAATCTTGCCAGGTCATGTGTTTAGCCCCAGGATATATAGCACTTTAGGGATTTTGACATGAAAAGTTAGCGTGAAGAATTTCCCTGAATTGAAGAGAACCTCAATTATAATATCTTTTAAAAAAATATTTTATTGTGCTTTAGATTCTGGGGTACATGTGCAGATCATGCAGAATTGTTGCATAGGTACACACATGACAATGTGGTTTGCTGCCTCCATCACCCTGTCACCTATATCTGGCATTTCTTCCCTTGTTATACATCCCCAAACTCCCTACCCCTTACTGTCCCTCCCCTCGTCCCACACAACAGACCCCAGTGTGTGATGCTCCACTCCCTGCGTCCATGTGTTCTCATTGTTCAAGACCCACCTATGACTGAGAACATGTGGTGTTTGATTTTCTATTCTTGTGTCAGTTTACTGAGAATTATGGTTTCCAGATTCATCCATGTCCTTACAAGGGACACAAACTCATTGTTTTTTATGTCTGCATAGTATTCCATGGTGTATTTGTGCCACATTTTCCTTATCCAGTCTATCATCGATGGGCATTTGGGTTGGTTCCAGGTCTTTGCTATTGTAAACAGTGCCGCAGTGAACATATGTGTGCATGTGTCTTTATAATAGAAAGATTTATAACCCTTTGGATATATGCCCAGTAATGAGATTGCCAGGTCAAATGGAATTTCTATTTCTAGATTCTTGAGGAATCGCCACACTGTCTTCCACAATGGTTGAACTAATTTACACCCCATCAACAGTGTAAAAGTGTTCCTGTTTCTCTACATCCTCTCCAGCATCTGTTGTCTCCAGATTTTTTAATGATCGCCATTCTAACTGGCGTGAGATGGTATCTCAGTGTGGTTTTGATTTGCATTTCTCTAATGACCAGTGATGATGAGCATTTTTTCATATGTTCGTTGGCCTCATGTATGTCTTCTTTTGAAAAGTGTCTGTTCATGTCCTTTGCCCACTTTTGAATGGGCTTGTTTGTTTTTTTCTTGTAAATCTATTTTAGTTCTTTGTAGATTCTGGATATTAGCCCTCTGACAGATGGGTAGCTTGCAAAAATTTATTCCCATTCTGTTGGTTGCTGGTTCACTCTAATGATTGTTTCTTTTCCTGTATAGAACATGTGGAGTTTAATTAGATCCCATTTGTCTATTTTGACCTTTGTTGCCAATGCTTTTGGTGTTTTAGCCATGAATCCTTGCTTATGCCTATGTGATAAATGGTTTTGCCTAGGTTTTCTTCTAGGGTTTTTATGGCGTGAGGTCTTACGTTTAAGTCTTTAATCCATCCGGAGTTAATTTTAGTGTAAGATTTCCAGAAGCGGTCCAGTTTCTG